ATAATAAAAAATTCTGGGAAATAAAGAATTCTGCACATTTGGAAAATTCAAAGAATTCTATAAAGAAAAAGAAATTTACGCGTCAGTGAGCATATCGCGAGTTGTGTCACATCTGGCAGACTAGCAGATTAGCAACTCTATTACTAGAAAATATGTGACTATCATCGTTATCTAGTTATCAGTTTTATCATGTGATTTTCAGGACCGCGCAGTCTCAAAAAAATGCTAAAAAAATTTTTTATTATCTGGTACACTCCCTTTATTAACAATATAACTTAATAAAAATATATATATAGGATTGATTTTTACTCTATAAATTTTTTGGGATCGAAATAGTTATAACCATTTTGCCAGAATTATATTCACTATCTTCAGAATCAGAATTATGTAGTATTTTGTAAATTGTGCATGTGACAGCCGTTCTTAATGTCATCAAGGAATGGATAAGCAAGTATATGGTACTTGGTGAAGTTATATGTAGCGGAATCAGTGCTTTTTCTATTAGACAGTACTTGTAAATACCCGATTCTCTTTGCATAGCATAAAGTTTCATAATATCGCCTGAAATATATAAAAGCAATAGCCAGAGCATGATTAAGCATTATTAGTTTGAAATATAAGAGTGGGATATAAAGAAAAATAATATAATATATTACCTACAATGTTTATAGCAAATATAGACAATATCTACCTCTTGGATGAAAGATTAAATACCTTCTTAAGCTTTGATATTTTTCTAGTAGTATCAATAAAATCTTTAGAAAACTGGATTAATTTTTTATGATCTCGCTGGCGTTTGTCTTGACTGAAATTAGATCTACCAGTTTCAAGATATACCATTTCAAGCTTTACAGCTTTTCTCAGCTCCATTACAGTCATATAATTAGATCTTTGTGCGAACTTACGTGATCCTTTTTGTATAGTACTAGCTGAACTTCCCTCTTCACTTCTAATTGGAAGAAATTGCCAAGAAAAGATAGGTTATTAAGTCAACAGATAGGCCCTTCTTGAAAAGATAGTGTGATAATTATTGAGGTATCGCTTACCAGACATCCCATATAATAGGGTTTTCAGATAAATCGCTTATTATTATATTTATTAATAGCGCAAGAATTTCACAGACATATGATCCTTCATTAATCGATTTACCTTTCTTTATATAAGCTTCATACTTAGATGATTTCTAAACTTTGTACCTACAAAAGAATATAGTAGATAGAAATTACGTGAACTGTAATTCTGTCGAAAGCGCTAAGGTAAGATATGGTCTAAAAAATAACTTACAAAGACTCTAGTATTCGTCTTGTTATTTCTTGAAGCTTTTCTGAACTATCTAGTCACTTTCTAAATTCCACATCATGCAAATCTTCATCTAAATTTATTTTGATTCCTCATTATGAATAAACTCTTTACAGCTATTCAAAATTATATTACTATATTCTAATTTATATTCTTGAAAAGGTTCCTTAAAAATACTACAAAACGAAATAGGCATCTCTGTAAAAGGTTCAGATCTAATATCAAGAATTCTGGAACATATAGGATGATCAAACCTAAGACTTTTAACGTCAACTTCTTCTAATTCTATCTCAATTCTTTCCTACATAGTTTTTTCATAACCAGAAGTATTATTTATAACTTGCCCAATATCACACTTTAAAAGCTGTAAGTTTGCATTAGCATCTTCAGATCATGAATCGACATCTATTACTAAAGCTTTCATCCCTGAAAGCGAGCATAAATCTTCAAATGCAGTCATCACCTAAAATGTAGTATCTTAGATTAGGCTAATGATATATTTGATAAATTAAACTAAGTATTTTTCGTGAGATCAGATTAGGTTTTCGTTTTCATATAGTATCAAAATACTAGCAGTAAGTCCAGCCAAAAAGAAACTTCACTATGCATATATTATTAGTTACTGCTATGTGAAAGTGATATCACATCGAATATAGCGCATTCATTAACATATATGCCTAGAAAACTTAAAAAAATATGTTATCATATACATATATCCATCATGAAAATAGTTTTTACTTTACCCGTTTAGCCAGTTTTTTTCCAGTACCAAAACTTTGAAGTTTTTTTCTTCATTTGACATCATCTAAGGGATCTGTTTCAAAACTTTCTCTAAGACATTTGTAAAGTTCTCCACCTTTTTTTCAAGAACGCTAGTCCATTCGCCTTATTCTACTCGTACAAATAATATTGTAGAGATTCTGACAATATCGAGGGGTTTTCTGGTTAAAAGAAACTCTTCCATGTTTTAATATAATAAGAAGTTATATATTAGTGAAAAGCCTGCTAAGCGAAGTAAAAATATTGTAAATTTCAATACCTTTTTCTCATACTGCCTTTATAAATATATTATAATTTTCCCATTTGCCTTCTCTGAACCTGAGATTATGTTGGGATCGAAACATAAGAATATGCTAGACACTTTATACCAAAATTTTGTGTTAGAGAATAAGGACATGTGGAGTGTGCATTAAAGATCTTAACATTTACAAAGACGTTAGAGATATACATATACATACTTTTTTTCTTTATTTCACTTACCCAACCGCTTAGTAATAAAGACCTAGTAACATTATATAAATATATTCTGATCAAAACCTAGTAGGAATAGCCTCTAGCATCAAAGGAAATTAACTTATAAATAAATGCTATTCAAATAAATAGGGAAAAAATTTGAAATATTTTTGGGATCAATTTCTTATGTGTGAAATTTAATTTGTCGCATAAACAGTCACACAGAGTTACAGATGATTGCAAAGTATCACCTATTACATCATATATACTTTAACAAGGATCGAAAATGTGCTAATTTATGTCGCACATGCTTACATGCATTATAGCTGAATATATTCAGGATTTTAGTCAAAGGTTGATCTAGAAAATTTGGCATACAAACTCACAATTATCATCTAAATCTGAGAAATTCACAGTAAATACTTTCCTAAAGTATAATATATTCTTAATGTTGGTAAATCACATATATTTCGTATTTTTACTGATTTACTCTTATATTTCATTTCACATAGTAAAATAATTTTGATGAAGTATTCAAAGTTATATTTTTTATTAATATGATAATGTTTAGGATTCTGTAGCCATTTTAACATAACAATCCAATGCGTATCTTTAACAATTATATAGCTTTGCTGATATAATATTTTATAAATAAGTACGTGTGTTATATTAGCTAATCATATCTATAATTGGTATATCTTCTCAATTATCCAGTCATTTTTCACTAGATAATAATTACCATCATCATTCTATATTTGTCCTGAAGGATTAGTATATCCCTATTCGTTATTTATACCCAAAAATTTTTTTCTTATCAGGAGTACTATCATTCTTCATTGCCTTCCAAATCTGTTTTACCAAAGATTCAGATCTCTTTTTATAATTCCTGTAAGCTCACTAGATAACTGTTGCATAGAAATTCTCAAACTGATAGTTATATCATTTTGCAATCAAGAATCCCCAAGATCGCTTCATAGAAATACTTTATTAAAATAGTTATATAATATATTGAAGGATCTAACCCAGAATAGATAGATCATGTATAACATCTTTGGTTCGCATATGATACATTTCACAATTATACTAGGTGATTATATATGTAGATTATATAGTGCAAAAAAAATTAAGAATGATACATTACACAAAGCAATAGTCTATAATTAAGATATTTCTCAAAATTGGTCAGTTAAACAAATGTGATTTTTGTCCTATCTCTCATTTTAATACGAGCTGATTATGATTATTTATAGATGGCAGTAAGTTATTTTGTTTTACATACCGAAACAAGATAAATATTTCACTTGTATTACTTTTGAAATTTGATGATTGATGTAAAATTGGCGAAACTATTTCTTGCCTGGCAGGTGGAATATAAGCTGGCTCAAAATTTGGAACACTTAGCATTGTATTTTTTGCTATGTTTACTTTAGATTGTGCATAAATTTTATAGTCTATTAAATGCGTATCATGATCATATGATACTGATGCCAATTTATTCTTTTCTAAGTATAAAGTAGATTGAGAGAAAAGCTCTAGATAGAGACACTTCATTTTCACCTCTTCTTCTAATATAAATTATTTATATTGCTAGATCTTAAATTCTCTTCTATTCATAGATTGGAGAATTTCTTTTCTTCTTGCATATTCATTCAAAATACTATTTTCAGAAATACATCTCTTCAAGTGGCTATCTTGATAGATAAAAGCACTGAAAGAAGTATAAGGTATGAAAACTAAGGAGTCACATACACTGCAATATAGATAATTTGTTAGGAGACTGTAGACTTTACTATCACTTTCATATAACTTTCCGTACATTGAAATATACCCATTCTTGGAAAGGATTCTTGAATTTTCTTCAAGTATTTTCCTAAATGGGTCATGAATACGAGAGCACCACATTTTTAGTATTTCGTGATCATGTCTTTTTGTTAAAGGGCCTAATCTTTCAAGTATTCTTCTATGTTCTGTAAAGTCTTTAACACTATTCCATGCATCAACTAGCATAGAATGGCCTCTACTATCTAAATCCATATTAGCGTTTTGGTAGAATAACAGAATATAACGATTTTATTGATTTTATAGTTTATAGCCGATTTAGCTATTTTAACTAATTTAGCAATATTATACTCTAATAAATATCAGATTCATTTTTATTTAATTGTTCGAGCCAAGATCTTCAGGAGAAAAAAACTCAATATATGAAATACTGTATTCTAATTATTTCTCAAACATTGTCTAATTAATACTGAAGGAGATTCACATTTATTGTAATACCATTCCTGTATTATTTTACGTAAATCCTCATAGAGATTAGTGGGTATATCCATTCTATCATTAGACATAATTACTATATCCGATGCTCAAAAAGTTCAGTATGTTGCTTAATCAATCAAACTTATCCAATTTCTATCAGTTTCATTACAAAGACGGCATATGGCAATATATTTGTCTGAAATCTGTATATAATGCGCTTGTGAAAGCTTATCTATAAAATACCCAAATGCTATTTCTGTATATTGGTAATAACAACCTGATAGGTCCTTTGGAGCTGAATATACAGTAAAATCTGCCTCTGAGCTCCACGTAATATTAATTTTCGTATCATTTAGTTTATTAGGTATGAGCTATAATTCAATTTTTACATAGAAGACGTAGTAGAAAAACAGCTGACGGATAAATTACAAGTTTGTATCACATGAAATCTCTCTAGCTCCTAGCCAGTTTTCAGAACTTCCTCGCAATCTTCCCGCAACTCAAATTACGAGAATCAGCTAATCAGATTTTGCGTGATAGCTAAGCTACCTTTATTATTTGATTAATCATTAGATTGATTATACTGATTATTATATTTTTTTAAACAATGCTAATCTCACAATTCATTTAGATCATGACATATAAAACAACTCTTCTTGCTTGCTCTGTTATCTCACTTCTTTTTTGCTTTCTATAAAGGGTTATCCAAGCTAATACAGAAATGTCTTTAGAGTAAAACGAAGAAAAAACTCGTATTCTCATTAACAAACGTAAAAATGGCAATATTGAGTACCACCAAACACCTAAATGTAACAAGAAAATCTTCTGGAAAAAAATAGCTGAGAAGCTTAACTAAATTTATAATTCAAACTATTTTACTAGGGATGGTTGTAATAAAAAATTTTTAACTCTAACTCAGACATATTATATAAGTAATACAATAATTGAGTAGCTGAGCCAGAGGGTACTTAACCCAACTCTGATCTGATATCTTTGGTATATGTAGACGGCTAAGGCCTATAAGAAAGCTGAGGCAGAAGTTAAAAAGAAGAGAAGTCTTATTGGAGAACATTATTATGAAGAGTTCTTAACAGAATTTTGGAAAGAACCTGGTATTAATTTTTGTTATACTTTCGTGTATATGAAAAAGATATATCCCTAAAATTTTTATTATTTCTAGGAGCACATCATTCTACAATGCCATCTAATACACCTGGTCTTCTCGAAATCAAGTCTGATACTTCTTCCTTCTCACATAAACAAACAAAATTATCAAGACCTATAACACCTTCTACTGAGACTCCCATAGTCTCTAGACCTATCACTCTAACACTTTCCTCTTTTTTCCAAAATGCAAATGTAATTAATATTACTATTAATTATAGTGAGAAAGGAAAGAGCTTAGAAAAACAATAAGAAATATGGTATTATTAGTATCGTATAGCGCTTATAGCATTTTAATAATCTAGCTATTTTTTTACAATTATAGCTGTATTAATAAGCAAATGTAATTAATAAATATCACTTGTAAAATTACGAAATACGTTTAAAAAACTCAAAGTAAAATCTTTATTATAATTTTGTAAAGTAATATATGAGAAAGAGCCGGCCGGCTAAGTAAAAAAATGAAACTAATAAAAGATATTGGAGTAGATCACGTTTAAAGGGAGAAATCATGCTAGCCCTTAAGCCAAATATGGCAGTTCCTTCTCACTATCCCATATTATTTTCATTATTATTTGCACTACTCGCATTATTATTATCTACACTACTAGCAACTTCTTTACTTTCTACCCATCTCATAATTGACATCACCGTACTAAATTTTAGATTCCCTTTACCATAATAAAAGTTTTTTACAGTACTCTTTTTAATCCTATCTCTAGTAAGATTACGAGCTTTACGTCTCACAGTTTCAATTGAATAATCTATAGTATCCCTCACTTTCTTTTCTGAATTAAAAACACGTTTAAAACAGTTCCTATTTTCTTTGAGAGATGAATCTGATGACGAGCTTTCATGTGATCAGTTCGAAGCCTCAGATTGGTTCTCACTTAGCTGATTAAATTCAACCTGAAGTCTTTAGGCAATTGCATAATATTGGATCATTTCATTTCAGAAAGTTTCAATAGAGGTCTTGACCGAATTGAATTCAGATGAAATATTGCAAAAATCATTATGACAGTCTTTTTCAATATTGTTGATCATTAATAAAATTTTTTGCATCTCAAAAAAGTAGCCAGCATCACGTGAATTGATTTTAGTGATTTTTCCAGTAAGTTTCTTATTAAGTTTATTGTTGTTTCTTACAAGCTCTGCAATGAAAGAAGAATTAACTTCAAAAAGATATGCAAAAAGTTCATTAACGATTTTAGTGTTAACTTCAGTGCTAAGTTTTTTATAAATATCAGTAAGGAGTCTTTTGATCTCTGCAGTAATACTTTTATCACGTGTCTTATTTTTTTCAATTTTTGCGGTAAGAATACTATTAATTTTGGTCATACGTGCAGAAAGCTCATTAGCAATTTTATTATCATATATAGGAGGGTAATTGGAGAATTGGTTTCTGATGACATTGTCACTGGGTTCATTTTATTTATCTTAACGTCTAAGTTGAAAAGCTGTGGCAGCTGATTCTACACGTTAGAGTTTCTGACCTTAGGATTTTCTCTAAGTCCTATAGGTATCCGTTATACTTGAATTAACTTAGCAATTTATCATGTCTTAGAACTTAAGATATATTAGTCAAACTCGTAATGACAAACTCAATAGCAAGTTAATGTAGTATATCACAACAATCCTAGGTGAAGGACAACGTTGAAGGGAAAAGTAGTTTGTATGGATTTAAATTGATTCCTTTATTTATAACTTGAAACTCGTATGAAACTTACAAATTAGTTAATAAACTTGCAAGTGAGTTAATTTATAACTTAAGCAAAAAGCTATTCTATTTATATAAAATTAATTTGTTACGGCTAACTACTTGCTACGCTATAAATTAACTAAATATAGATATATATCTCAATAAAAATATACGTAGATATAATAAAATAATAAAAATAATACAAATTATAAAAATAATAAAAAGAAATATAAATAAATTATAAACGTTAAAGAAATTATAAATAAAATAAAGTAAACAGATTAAACAAACTGTTTAAAAAATACAGAAGAAACAAGCAAATCAGGTGAATTTTGTAAATCCTTCAAATTAAATGATTTTCCAATGCAATACGTCAATCAAGATCTTCCTTAATATGATCTACATAAAATTAAATCTAATATATTTGTAAATCATTTTTCTAGGGCAACTTTTCAATGCTAACAATCCTCCTCTCACTTAATTTCGAACGTTGTAGTGAGAAATAATTTTGTCCTCAAAATTAAATTTTTCTAAGAATTTATTAAAAAGAATTTGCAGAATGCATGCCGTATTCATGCGCGACCCACTAGAGGGGAGCAGGCCATATTTATGCTATCTGCAATCAACCTTACAAACATAGGTTCTTCTAACGTTATATAAGGCTAAAATTTGTTAATTTTTAGAATTATGGGATTCAAAATTCTATATAAATAGTTTAATTCTGAAGGATCTTCTAAAGTCATGTGATAAATTATTTTTCTTAAATATAACTTCTACGCGTGTTGATTCAATTATTCAAAATCTAAATCTTCAAATCTTCAAATTTTTCAAACAAAATGCCTTCTAATAATCATTTCAAAAATAATCTTCAAAAAAGTGTTGAACGTATGAGAACTTTTCGTTCACAACAAAAAAATAAAGTTCATGAACAGTTTGCGACCTTGCAAATTCAAGCACAAGAAGAAGAAAGAAAGAGGTTGCTTATGGCAGACAGACTGGCATATCTCGTAGCTAATCAAAATACTCGCAAAGAACTGTTACAACAAAGAATAAATACATTAGAAGTTGAAACTTTCGTCAAAAAGAAATATTTCTGGAGCAGTGGTTATTTTACAAAGATTTGTGGGAAGGTTGAGTATTAACTTCAGTTGGGTGGTCTGGGTGGTGGTTAGGATTTTTTATTTTTACTTGGTCTTTTTCTTGAAGTTTTTTTTCGCTGGTGATTCGCTGGATTGGACTGGTAGTTGTGGCTGGATTGTATATTTGTCGATCATTTGTAAATAAAATTATATATTTGGTGGCTTGATATATTGATCTGATCTTCATCTATGATATGCTTAATCTTTTTCTATATCCAGAAAGTTCATTGAAATCTAATATTTAAGAAATCTACTATGAGAAAATTGTTGAACACAAATTTAAAATTAACTTTTTAATCAACTGATTATATCATTTAACTTTTTTTAATGCATTAACTACGTAAATATTGCAAGTAGTTTCTTTTTCAAGAAAACTAACATTTTCATATTTCTTGATTTTTATGCATGCATTTTATCGAACTCTTAAAATTATGCAGCTTATAAAATTTCCTGAATTTTGTACTAAATAAAGAAATGTTGATCAAAAATGTGCTATGCAAATATTGCGTGATCATCTAATTTAGTAATACTAATTAACTACACCAATTTTAAACAGGTTTTTGTTCTATAGATTTCTATGCAATAATCATCATCCAATGCGATCCAATAGATTTTTGTTTATTTTTCTGCAAGAAAATAATTCTCACGGTCTTAAGAATTTTTTATAGCCACTTCTTTCAAGTATAAATATTTGTCTAAGAATTCTTTCTATTTTTCACAAATTTTTCACTTTCTT